ATTTAGTCTGCATGAACTGTAAAGAGAGATGCAAGTTTGCCATCTGCAGCACAGAAGCCATGGAAGCAAAGTGATCGTGAACAAAAGAACTGAAACATGTCAATAGGCCACGAAAGCTCATATCTTACAAACCGGTAAACAGGTCCTCAGCTAAGGAAAATCACTTTAGCTCCTTCTCCTCCAGTGGAACTGTATCACTTTCCACCAGCACAGATATGGCCGGTTATCTGTGCCAGTGTTGTACCCCTTCTTCAGAAGTGTCTTTTCAGACACTGTAACATGCACTACACCTTCCGGGTTCTTGTGGTATAGTGAGGGTTACTGCCATTCTGGACAGCCTCACCCTACAGCATTAATCTCTGGTGCTTACTTCCAGTGTGGTTCTCAATAGCTGTTCAGTGCTGTGGTTAAGCCACTGCATTTGTATTTTTTTTTTTCTTGTTCCACAATACTTCCTATTTTCTTTCCTTCTCAGTCCTTCCACAGCTGCTTCTCTAACAAAAAATGCTTTGCTGAGTCACCTCCATGTAAAACCTTCCCACAGCCCATATAGTCATCTTCTGTTGGAAGAGCTCCTTATAATAAATAATAATAATGATTTAATAAATAGATATTCTAATATTTATAGTTCGGAGGTGTATTAAATGAGCAGGCTGCTCATTGTTTGCCTTGCTACTATTTTGCTTTGGAAATGGGTCTTAGATCATATTCTGTAGTACATGTGAATTATTAATGAACCAAATCTAAACTATTGCATGGACAGCAAAATTATTTTCATCCAAAGCACTGTTAGACATGTAAGCCAGGTTTTTGCAGAGTGTTGAAATGTGAGGCTTGCAATGGAGAGTGGTTGTTTTCCAGTGTTTTTCAGTCTCCACTACTGAATATGATCTCTTCTGTTTGCCCCCAAGTTTTCACACTTTCTAAAATAGAACACTGTACTGGTTAAATATATACCTACTAGTGTATGGTACTGAAATTTTAGAAAGATCTTAATAGCCTTTTCCTCCCTTCCTCCCTTCTTTTTGTCTTTTTTTTTCTCACAGTTGACAGTAGAATTAAAGAGTTGATTGAAGGTTTTTTAATGTGGTTAGAAGTCTGTGATACCATTTGATGTATTTATGTTCTCTCCAGATGACCTGTTTTCAGGAGAATCTCTTCAAATGGCTTGTTAACATTAACAATCTCCACACTGCAAGTTGCTTACTGTTCGTATTATTTAATACTGGACCATTTATCATAAAATAGTTAAAATTTAATGTTTTCAAGGAAGATTGGTCAATACTACTTGCACTGCTATAGCTGGAAGTACTGCTTTTGAGTGTCAGAAATTATACAGCAAACACCTGTATTTGAATAATGGTTTGAAGATTAATTAAAGCTGATTTGTTTATTTTTGTATTGCAAGATGCAGAGTAGTATAATAGTTGTTAAATGTCCCTACTATGCCTCCATTTGAAACAAAAGCCTAACAGCAATTCCTTGGCATAATGCATACACTAATAAAGAAATTTGATGACACGGCAAATAATTATTTGATTGCAAGAATAATTATCTAGTCTATATTTGCAGCAAATGATAGCATTCTCCATCTCTTCTGTAACAGTGCGTGCAATTGGAGCTTGTGAAGCTGCAGGATGCACACCTGCTGAATTTCCAGACCCTTATCAGAACAGTAAACACAGGGCATTTTTTTTCCTATGCAGCTTCTCTTATTAACAGGTCATACTGGAAAAGGAGTTGTCTAGCATAGCTGTGGTCCAGAAGACCCTCATGGGTATTGCTGTCCGTGTGAATAGTTACACGTGCGTGCTTTGTGATGATGGGGACTGAGTGGACAGTGTTGGCACTTCACTTCAGTGTGCAGAAGACAGAATACACACAGCCAAAGGGCAAGTCTGCAGATGCTGGACTCCCCTTCAAGGTCATGCTGTTTCTCATTTATGTTTTTTTTAGTATTGCCATCTGATAAATAGACTGAGTTTAAATTATAAATGCTTCCAAATGCATTTGTTTCTACTCTACTGACACACTCTTGAAGTCCAGCTGAAAAAAGGATGCTGGGCTAACTCTGGTAATTAATAAATGACTGTGATCATGTATTTGCAATTTATATTGTACAAGTAAATGTTTATAAATTTATCTGCACAGGAACAGTCCCTGGTTCTAATTATACACAGCCTTCACTATTCTTAGACCATATGCCTAGGGCAGATTCTCAACAGGATCTAAAAATTTGGCTTAGCAACAGAATCTCTAATCTGTTCCTGAACATTGCTGCACTGTGATACTTGCTCTGTTTCAGCCTGTATTTGCAGTGTTTGAAGAATTCATCTCAGAGTAAAAGAGGAACACAGAAATGAGGTTTAAAAGAGGCCTAGGAATTAGTGAAAACATATCAACCAAAATATGAACTACCAGCAGTAGTAATTAAATTACAAACGTTGGTAGCAGCTCTCAGCTTTGAGGAAGTGAAGGAGCAGTAAGACAAGCACTGATTACAGTAAACCCGAATGTAAAAGGAGGTAATTTCACCAGACAGTTAGTACTGCATTCTAGTTGCTTTGCGCAAATGGAAAATTATCTGTTAAATTACATTAACAGTTGCCAAATATATACATGTATATGTTTATGCCTGTATGTCTGGGTCTTTTAGCAGTACAAACCCATAATGATTAAACTATTTTAATAAAATTCAGTCTATTCTAGTGTAGCTTATCTTGCCTTTCTGAATGCTTACATGAATTAAAAAGGGTCATCCTACAGAAATAAGCACATGAAAGAAAGTTCATTAGCATTTTAGATGAAGGAAAATGTCATAAAAAACAGATAGAGAATGCTTGATACTCATATTGTCAACTAGAGATTACAATTTTTGCCACAATGACATATAGGTAGATAGATTTTCACTGGGCAACATATGAGGGAGTGAATTTCATAAGGCTGCATCACTGAGCAACACAGTACAGGACAGAGTGAAGAGTGCAGGGGAGTTTCCTCCATGGAGGGAAGGAGGATATGGAATCATAGAATCATCTAAGCTGGAATACCAAGATTACCAAGCCCAAGTGCCAACCTACCCTACAGAGTCCCAACACTAAACCACGTCCCTTAGTGCCATGTCTAAGTGTCTCTTAAATACCTCCAAGGATGAGACTCCACCACTGAATTTGTATTAGATTAGAAGGCTCTGCCACTTTATCTACTAGAAAGCTTTCATATTTTCATTTCAAATAAAATCTAAATGTTTTTCTTTTTTTAAAGTGACCCAGACAATGTTGATTCAGTACCATCTGTCCTTAGTCACTTCCTCTGAGGTCAGTGTTTCATTCCCTCCAGGGACAGAGCTCTCCAGCCAGACTGCATCTCCCTTGACAGGCCATATTTCCCAGGCACCTTGGCTGGAGTCTTCACAAAATTAACAATCTGGGTGGAGGGAGGAAAGATGGTGGAATCAATCTTTTCATTTTCCAGCTCAAGGTATTCATAAGTGATGTAAGCACATGCCTTCTAATATGATCACTTGATTTTCATTCTATCTATGGAGATTAGTGTGTTCACAGAATGCTGTGTAGATATGTTATTGTTCATTGAGATGAACGTCTCTACAAACAAAGCAGAAATGGGATTTCTGAACATGTAGCTTGGCCATAACTTACATTAGTACCACTCAAAACACAGAAAATGAGCAGTCTATCTTTGAAAACTATGCAACTGAAAATACATCTAAGATTCAATGATCATAAGTAATATATGTACCTTTATCACTATCACAAGCTTAAATAAGCACATCACAACATATGGTAAGAGATGTCAGCACATCGGCTGATGCTTGGCAAATCTACAGCTCTTGAGTACTCAATGGTATAAAATACTTTCTTCTGCATTATTATTTGAAATACATGGATTTTCTTTGTAGTGAAAGGAATAATTCTGCATTCTTCACTTGAAGATCTCAACATTACAGGGTCTTCAATGTTTCCAACAACTTGTTTTAACCTAGGAAGAACCATTATTTTTTTTTTCTTCAGTTCCAATATTTGTACTGTATCATATTGTAAAATGAAAATGTTTATTGAAGACCAAGACAATAAAATGTTTAGTATTGCTTTTTCTGACTAAGGGAGGTCAAAACATAGATACAAATGGTCCTAACATTACATAGCCCAATCAACCAAGCTTCTTTTGGGAAGAAAAGAAGTCTGAAGACCAAAGAAACTCATCAGAGATCCTGAAATGTTCCCCTATTTTATTACAGATATGTCTGTAGTAATGCGTAATGGGAGGTGGGAGGCAAATGGATGAGGTCAGGCTCTTCTTGGTAGTGCGTAGCAATAGGACAAGGAGTAAAACTAGAACACAGGAAATTCTGTACTAACATGTGGAAGAACCTCTTTACAGTAAGGGTGCTGGAGCATTGGAACAGGATGCCCAGAGAGGCTGTGGAATCTCCCTCTACAGAACTATGCAAGACTTCTCTGGACATCTGTCTGTGCCACCTATACGTACGTGCTTTAGCAGGGAATTCGATCTGTTGAGGTCACAGAATCACAGAATGGCACAACGATCATCTAGTTTCAACCCCCTGCTGTGTGCAGGGTCACCAACCAGCAGACCAGGCTGCCCAGAGCCACATCCAGCCTGGCCTTGAATGCCTCCAGGGATGGGCATCCACAACCTCCTTGGGCAACCTGTTCCAGTGCGTCACCAGCCTCTGTGTGAAAAACTTCCTCCTAATATCTAACCTAAACCTCCCCTGTCTCAATTCAATACCATTGCCCTTCCAACCCCTGTGATTCTGTGAAGTATTAACGAGGGACGGATCTAGCACTGAATTCCCGTTTGTACCAGCGACAAATAGGCACTGCCTATGCACTGACCAGCCGCTCCCTTCCCACCCAGACCGCACCACAGCCGAGACGCTCCAAGCCACCGCCGCAACAGACAGGCGCGCGCAGGCGGGCGGTGCTGGCGCATGCGCATTGTCGCTCCCCTTGTGGCTGCGCGGAGGGCACCGCAGGCTTCAAGGAGAGGGCCGGACCGGGGCGTCTTTCGCTGCCGTCGCCATGTTCCTGTGCGCTGCTCTGCGGGCCGCGGCCGCGCGCTCGGTAAGGGGGCGGTTGCAGGGTGTGGTAGTGGCGGGGTAGCCGGCCGGCCGCGCGGTGCGGGAGGCCGGGGGCAGGGTCTCGGCGCTGCCCTCGCAGGGGAGAGCGGTAAGGCCTGGCCTCGGGGATGGAGCGCTCAGTGCGAGGGCTGCGCTCCGGGCTGCGGTCCAGTCCTCTCACTGTGCTCTCCTTGTGCCTTGAGGCTTTTGCCCGAGTGTGCCTTGTCATGTGGCTCCCTGTGAGCACTCGGGCTGGTGCAGTGCGCTCTATAAGGGATGCAGGAGTGATCTGCACTACAGTTATTTGTGGATTCAAGAGTGCCTTTTGGTCTCTGACAACAGCAGGATGCGAATTGTTTTCCTGCCTGATGCTCTCAGGCGAGCCAGAACTGGAGAGCAAAAGGGAAATGGGTGCGTGCTGCGAAGTACCTGTAAGGCTGCACGGCACATCCACCCACCTGCAAGGAGTCACTGTGTGACAGGGGAAACCGCTGCTGTCACATGGCAGGTGGGACCGTGTAATGCTGGGATGCTTCATTTGCTTTTACAGCAGAACAGATCTGTTTCATCATCGCAGACACAGGCAGAGACTATAAAAAATGAGACTGACTTGTATTATAGGTCTCTCTTCTCGTATTTAAGGTGCTTAGTTTTGTGTATTGTCTTTTGTCTGATGTCACTGTTAGTCAGCAGAGAGAGCTGTAGTAAGGTGTAAATGAGAAAAGCCTCAGTACTGCTGGTACCTTTGCCAGATGTTTGGCTCACCAGTGATACAGAGTAACAAACTGAAAAGTTCTTCATAAAGAGTTTGATGAGGATTTGTATTCAAACTGGTGGAACGTTTACCAGTTTGAAGTTCAGTCCTTTAAATTCTCTTGATACGCCGTGATAGCTTCGGGCAGTGTAGTAAATATGCTCTCTTGCAGTACAGTAGAAGTCATTGTATTCTTCTCTTGACTTGATTAGGGATGGCAAAATAATGAGTGACTTACAACTAAAATAGAACTCAAACTGGTTCTGAAGAAGGATATGCAAGTTATAGGCTATCAATACCATCAACTTTGTTTTGTTTGTAGATGAGACAAATCCGATACTTACATAAAACACCAGCATGCAGTTCAAGTGGAGGAGCCTTATTTGTGGTAAGTCATCTTCTACCTTGCTGGAAAGGGGATGTGTAACAAGAGGTTAGCATATGCTTTTCTAAATCCTCCTGGAAGTTTCTGATGGGTGCAACTAAGGGCAATCTGATTAGGTTGCAGTTGGGCTTGATGATCTTTAAGGTCTTTTCCAATCTGAGCAGTTCTGTGATTCTATAATTGTTATTAGAGTTGTGATATGTTGTCAGAAGGTTGTACTGTAGTTCTTGGCATAATGTTTCCTATTTTATGTAGTGAAAACTTCTGTACTAGCAATGCTAGCAGCACTTGTATGGGATTACTTATTTGTATAATGTTTGATTTTTTGTTTAAACTTATCACAATATTTCCTCTTTTTTTTCCAATTGAAATTAATTTAATTTGTAACTTGACACTAAACTTCCTGTGGACCCAATTTCTTGGCTTCTGCAGTTTGCCACAGAATTACCCATAGGTCCATGTCCGGCCACCTTCACTAGCTGCTGAAAAGTGCAGTTGTTGTTAATGCTTTATGACATACAATAAGTTGAATAGTGGTTCATAATTGAGGCAATTAGACATTACTGTTATACATACAGTAACAGTAATCGCATAAATGAAAGTGTGTGTATACAAACATGTAAAGCAGGTGTATTGTATGTCTACCTCTGAAGAGAACCTGAAGCATCTCTGAGAGGAGTGTTCTCTCCCACTCTGCTGCATTTGAAACTGCACCTAGAATTCAGTTCAGCAGCTGTTCAAAAGTTCAAATTTACTGTTTTTCCTCTGTTTATTGGAACTCAGCACTGTACTGGAGAATCAACTGATTTGTTGGAAGCAGGTGTTCAGTGTTTTTGGCTGGATTGTTTTTTTGGTCTTTCTGCAGCTGTCTCCACAGCTTTCACTTTGGATGAAGTTAATGAAGTTACAGTACATGCTTTGTATGCTTTTCCAAACCCTGAACAGGCATTGGTAATGTATGGAGTGAGAGCTATTACTCAAGAAGTACAGAAAACATGAGTGTAGGCTGACAAGTTAGGAAACCTTAAGAGTAGTCTGAGGTGAAGAAAGCAAAAGGTGTCTTTGGCACACTAATAAATGTTGGTGTTTGGAGTATGATGCTAGATGCTCTGTAATGTCTTCAGCTTTTTGCAAGATTTGTCTTACTATGTTAACGATTTGCTGGAGGGGGCAGCACAGAAATAGCAAAAGAGAGGTAGAAAAGTTTTGTGCTTTAGTAAGCTTATAATTTGTAACCGTTTTATTTAATATTATCTTCCACTCTTCTTATTTTTATTCCCCATCATATATGTATTTTTTTCTAGAAGAGCATAGAAAATTGTGGGGCGATGGACTTGTTTGTTTTTGTGATGGCCATAAAGCTATGGGAGGTAGATAGCTGCATGTCATTCTGTGTGAATGTTACTGTTTGCCCTAAATACAACTAAAATCTTCAGAGCAATTTTTAGTGCAAAGTTAAGACGTAATTTAACACAAGAAATTTCAAGATTGTTTTTTTTCCAGATTTTGGGTAGGAGGGAACATGAATACCTTATTTTCTAGAATATCACAGGAAGACCATAGAATCACAGAATCGTTTGAGTTGGAAGGGACCTTTAAGATCATCTAGTCCAACTGTCCCCAGGGCAGGTGCAGGTCTCCAGGACAAACACAGGTAGATCAGATTGCTTATAGCCTGGTCCTACCTAATCTTGAATGTCTTCAGGAATGGGGCATCACCCTCTGGGCAACCTGTTCCAGTGCCTCACCACTCTTATCTTAAAAAACTTCCTTGTATCCAATCTAAATCTCCCCTTTTCCTCTTGTGGTATCACAACAGGCCCTGCTAAAGAGCCTGTCCCCTTCTTTCTTACTCCTTTCTCCTTTAGTTACTGAAAGATACTGAAGATGTCTGCTGTGATTTCTGCAGTGTCAAAAGTTGTTAAAATGTGATTGTGGAGGAACAGTGGGTGTACCTGGGAGAAATTCCAACCTCCTGTTGTGATGGTCTTCTTTGTATGTCAGTTTACATAGGAGCACCTGGTTTTGTTTTGCAAAGAACACTGATTGTGAAACAGCCAAGGGGAGATTACTCAATCATTAAATCCAATCTGGTACCATCACAGGCAACTGTATCACACTTCCAGAAAGAATATGTCAAATTTTAAATGAGATGGATTGTTTGCACTTAGCCTAAGGATGGTAATCCAAATCTACCATATTTCTGATAGCAGGGGAAGGGCTACTTTCAAAAATGCTTTTATTTACAATAGTTACCTGTTTTCTTCACATACACCATCTCAGTACTTGACTTAATTTATTGTCTTCATCCTCTGTAACAGCTAAACCTTAGCTCTTATATTTTGTTACTTTCTGGCCATCAGCACAAGGGCCCAGATTCCTCAACACATCAACTGCATTGGTGTGGACTTTGTCACAGGGCTGTTCTGTACAGAAGGTTTGACTGCTGTGTTGCTGCTTAGCTTGTGATGATGGGCAGTGAAATACTTAGATCTAAGAGCACTTACACCATTCTTTATTTAGGGGATGTTTATATCTTGAGTTCTGCTACAATAGTGAGTATAGGGTATTCTCTCATTGGAAAAGAAGTGATAAATTTCTTTTTATTGCTGATTTAATACAAACTTATAACAATCTTAAACATTCTCTTGCCTGCAAATGATACAGTTTTCTCATTTTGGTTCACAGGCACTTAAACCATGTTTACCACAGGGCATACATCAATTGTCAGGTTTCTTTTAGGTAATATATCAACTTCTTTGTAGTGTACATGGAAAACTATATTATTCTAGTTACTTTATTATCAGGAGTAATCAACATGAATTCACCAAGGGCAAATCACACCTGATCAACCTCATAGCCTCCTATGATGTCATCACTAGCTCAGTAGTTGGCAGGAGGGCAGTGGGTGTTGTGTACCTTGGCTTCAGCAAGTGTTTGACATCATCTCCCACAACATCCATGTTACAAAACTTAGAAAATGTGGGATAGATGAGTGGGCAGCATGGTAGATTGAGAACTGGCTGACTTTCAGAGCTCAGAGGGTTGTTCTTAGTGGTGCAGAGTCTGCTTGGAAGCCTGTAACTAGTGATGTTCCCTAGGGGTTGGTGCTGGGTCTGGTCTTGCTCAACATCTTTATCAGTGACCAGGATGAAGGGATAGAGTTCACCCTCAGCAAGTGTGCTGATGATACAAAGCTGGGAGGATTTGCTGACACACCTGAAGGCTGTGCTGCCATTCAACAAGACTTGGACAGACTGTGGAGCTGGGCAGGGAGGAACCTGATGAGGTTCAACAAGAACAAGTGTAGAGTCCTACACCTGAGGAGGAATAACCATACGTATCAGTACTGGTTAGGAGATGATCTGCTGGAAAGGAGCTCTACAGAGAAGGACCTGGTGGTCCTGGGTAGAGTTTGGCCTTGGTTTTCAGGAAATAGCTTTAGCTGATACTTACATAATAGTTTGTACTTATCTGTGTACAGGAGGAAGACTTAACATATTTTCTTTTTTTGAGCATTTCTCATATGAGGAAGGCTTAGAGAGCTGGAACTGTTGAAGACATCTGAGTGTATGTAAATGCCTGACAGGAGAATGTAAGAAAGACAAAGCCATGCTCTTTTCGGTGGCACACAGGAGGTTCTCTCTGAACACCAGGAGCACACAGTGCTGTGTGGGTGAAGGAGCACTGGCACAGGTAGTTCAGAGGCTCTGATGTCTCCTCCCTGGAGATCTTCTTGATCCACTGTCTTGATGTGGGCCTGCTCTGGGTGGCCCTGCTGGAGCCACGGTTGGGCTCTGCCAGCCTCAGTTCTTCTGGATTCAGTGTAATGTGTTAAGTCTGAGTTTGTTCTTCACAGTCTGTATCCTAACAAAGGCAGGAAAGCACCCTTACAATTTTGGAGCTAATCAGCTACTGGAAGTCCCAGATAAATCGTGTCACATGGATAAACAGAAGATGAGGGAATGTGTGATTGACAAATTTGTAGCAGCTCAGAAGGTCTAGAACTATAAGCTCTAGCAGACTGTTCACAGTACTGAATTAGGCAAAGCCCATTTTGGAGACTAGCGTGCAAAAAGCTGTGACATTTTGTTTAGTGTTCACCTGCACAGAATCGGCAGTTGTGGCAACCTGTAGATTCAGATATCAAGCCTTTATTGTACTTATCCATATGTGGGGGGCATTTAAGGAATATCAGTTTAGAAAAGGTGCACATGAAGTAAGCGTTCGAGACAATAAGAGAAGTGTTTAATTAATCAAATACACTTGTCTGCTAAAGAAATTGAGTTGAGTCCAGCAAGTCCAGTAACTGTGGAAGGCAAAACAGCAGCTTGAGATAAAATGGGCATGCACATTCAAGAGGAAAAGTTAAGTTATGGAAGAACTTCTCATGAATCATGGATTATCTGTGCAGCTAAGACCTAGAGCAGATCTGTAAGGGAAAGAAATTATGAGTTGGAGGAAAAAAAATGGACTGGAAGTACTTTGCATCAGTCTCTTTTTTTAAGAATTTTTCTTGAAGCCGGTAGAATCACAGAATGGCCAGGGTTGGAAGGGACCTCAAGGATCATGAATTTACAACCCCCCTGCCACATGCAGGGCCACCAACCTCCCCATTTAGTATCAGACCAGGCTGCCCAGGGCCCCATCCAACCTGGCCTTGAACACCTCCAGGGACGGGGCACCACAACCTCTCTGGGCAGCCTGTTCCAGCACCTCACCACTCTCTCTGTAAAGAACTTCCCCCTGACATCCAACCCAAATCTTTCCTCTCTGAACTTAAAACCATTTCCTCTTGTCCTGCAGTTATCAACCCTTTCAGAGAGTTGATTCCCCTCCTCTTTGTAGGCTTCCTTTAGGTACTGAAAGGCTGCAGTGAGGTCACCCTGCAGCCTTCCTTTCTCCAGGCTGAACAAGCCCAGCTCCCTCAGCCTGTCTTCATAGGGGAGGTGCTCCTGATCATCTTCGTGGCTCTCTTCTGGACCCTCTCCAACAGCTCTTTCTTGTACTGGGAGCTCCAGACCTGGACACAGTACTCCAGATGGGGCCTCACAAGAGCAGAGTAGAGGGGGACAATCACCTCCCTGTCCCTGCTGGCCACCCCTCTTCTGATGGAGCCCAGGATACCATTTGCTTTTTGAGCTGCAAGGGCACACTGCTGGCTCATGTTAAGCTTTTCATCCATTAGGAACCCCAGGTCTTTCTCTGCAGGGCTGCTCTCAAGGATGGCTTCTTCCAGTCTGTATGGATGCCTGGGATAAAAACCCTCATCAACAATACATAAGATGAGTCAAATCCTTTATCTTGAGCATTCAGTCTAAAATAGAGGCAACATCTTCCTAAAAGTTGTTTTATGTTATCTTCTAGACAGCAGGAACAGTACATTCATACTTTGTAACAGCTTACGCTGTTCAAAGCAAATCAGTTATTTTTGGTAATTAAGTTATTAAGGCAAGTCATTCTAGGTAGAGAAGTACATACTGACAGTGTTTTTGTAAGGCTCCCAGCTGCAGAAGGGATACCCATTCTCTAACTTGACAGTGGCAGTAGTACTGTTTGCTTGAGCATATGGACAGGATAAGCCAGGGGAATTAATCACTGGAACACCAGAGAGAAATGGAAGTTGAGTTTGGGGTTTTTCTATGTTAAAATTTCTAAATCCAGGAATAGCTATGAACCATACAAATTCTGACTGCTGATAGATCTTATCGTATTGCCAGTTTCTTGCAATGTTAAATCTTTCATGAAATCCTTCAGTTCTTAAAAAGGAAAAGTAATGTGGGAATTATAAAATTTGGGTTGTTTGAGAATTAAAGTGAATGTCAAAGTAGGTTTCTTTTTTCCTCCTAAATACATTTCCTTAAAGGCTTGAATTGTTAGTTGATCATGTATTTCTTTTAGTTATAAACCTTGAGTACAGCTTGTTTTTGTGTACGCTTTCCATTTAATTTGAAATGTTCCCAGTTTGATAACAGCGTAAAGTTTGGAATTAATCTCAGCTATGGGTATGTCAAAGATACCATAATGAGCAACTTTGTGTTCTGCATAGGCTTCTCTAGGGAGTAAGGATCAGAACTAAAACTGTGCTGTAGCAAAATGTCACTTTTTTTCAAGACTTCCAAACTTGTATTTTCTAAACACACGAATTAGAACTGATTTCCATTTGATGCTTTTTAAGAAGACCACCTTGCAAGTAATATGATAAACTGCCATATTTTGGAGCTATGAATTGAAGGTTCTGCTTGTTCCATTCTGATTCAGAATTCCTTTTTCACACAGAGGCTGGTGACACACTGGAACAGGTTGCCCAAGGAGGTTGTGGATGCCCCATCCCTGGAGGCATTCAAGGCCAGGCTGGATGTGGCTCTGGGCAGCCTGGTCTGGTGGTTGGCGACCCTGCACACAGCAGGGGGTTGAATCTGGATGATCATTGTGGTCCTTTTCAGCCCAGGACATTCTGTGATTCCATGAAATCTATCTAAGAAGTTGAAATCCGTTAAAAAAAAATTGAAAATGTGAAGATAGCTTGCTAGTACATTCAACCATTCTATTTATGTAGCAAGATACTTGGTAGTTTTTTTTAAGTTTTTTGCATTTTGTGTCTTATGAGAAAAGGAAAATAGGCTATTATTGTTTATTAAGGTACTAACTAAAGGACTCCTAAATCTGCTTGTGATGAGTTTGAACGCAATTGCCAAAATACATCAACTGTTCCAAATGTCTATTTTGAAAGTGACACCACTTTGCAGAAGAAATAATTACTTGAATAGGAAATAACAGGAATAAGTTAATATTTTCTTTTTTAAGAGTGATGAAGTAATTATGAATGTTTCTGATGACTTTCTTACAGATGGTTAGTCATTTATGATTGAGTACTATTAAATTTTTATCTGGAATGTATCAAATGAGTTTTGTTGAGGTAACTCCACTGTAACTGTCTAATGAAATAATTTGCAGTGGTAAATCTGTCCTGAATAATTTCCTGACAACACTATTTCTTCTTCTTCTGAAGCACAGAGATAGTCCTGAGAATAATCCAGATACTCCCTTTGAGTTCACACCTGAAAACAAGAAGGTAGGCAGACAAAAAAACCAAAAACATAAATATATGCAACCTTTGTGTTTAGCTTACCACTGATTGTTTTTTGTTTTTCAATCTTTCTAAAGCGAATAGAAGCAATCGTAAGCAATTACCCAGGGGGACACAAATCTGCAGCTGTCATGGCAGTGCTAGATCTGGCTCAGAGACAGCATGGATGGTTGCCCATATCGGCTATGAACAAGGTATTTAGTGCTGAATTATCTTTCAAGCATAAAATCTGACTTGTAATAGTAGAATACAACTGTTTGGTTTTTTCTAATTGAAGTGTTTTAATGCAGGAATTTACACTGGGCACAGAATTGCGAGAATTCCCTCTGAGACTGCATTAAAAAAAAAAAGGGAAAATAATGCATGAAACTCTTGGGTCTGTTTATGTGATGCTACCTCACTGCTAGGAACTGAACAGAACAAAAATCATGTGGGCCTAAATTAGACAGGCTCTTCCCAGAATTATCCTGAATGTAGCATCAGAAATTTGAAAGACATGCTGAATTTGGAGGAAAGAGAAGGGTGATGATGACAGTGCTTTTTCATGTCCCCTTTACATCAGTGGTGCTATGCACGGCCAGGATTGTACTTCATCTCTAGGCCTGTAGAAAGATCCACGAAGCATGCAGTGATGTAGTGTTTGGAATGTGTATTTCATAATGCTTCATAGCAAATATCAGTAAGACTATTTTCTTATCAAATTATCTATTAATATTGTTTAAAAAAAAAAAAAAAAAAAAAAACAAGCAGCTGCAGTGTTCCACAGTGACAGTAAATAGCAATAAATAATTCAGTTTTTCTGTTCATACAAATTACTCTCACTTTGTGTTACAGGCTGGCATATCAGTTTTCAAATGAAATGTTTGAAGTTCAGTCAAGATAAGCTAAAAGAGGGTTGTGATCATTACAGAAGTTACTGAGTATGAGTGAAGTACTCATATAAAAGGGCAAATTGTCTGCTACTGTTCCTACTACATAGGATAAAGCCACAAATCTCCATCACTACTGAATGGGATAAGTCTTGTTTGTTAATTTTGTGAGTGGTATTATGTTGGAATGACCTTTGAAGCAAGGCTTTAAAACAATCACATATTTTCTGTGGCTTGGTACTGGAATATAGAACAGCTACGCTTTAGGAAATGCAGTCAGTTCTCAACCTGAACAGTCTGCCAGAGTTCCAGGTTAATGAGATAAAGGATACTTGCACCAGAACTGGCTCACGAGTAGTGCATCACTGTGTATTTGCTAGCTGTGATTCAGTGGTGTTTTTAGGGCCAGGCCTGCTATTGTCACAGTACCCCAGGTACCCCAGGCAGCCTGCTGTCTCTAAATTAGGTGAGTGTAGTACTGCCTCTATGTGTTTCCTTTGATAAAAAGCTGAAGTGGGTTAGTGTGGGCAGATTCATATGAGTTCATTCATTCATACAGCAAGAGTGCAAGTACGCTACAAGCTGGAGCTGACAATGAAAGCTGGAATCCAGCTGATCCTTGAAACTAGCCTGTTTATGATGCTGGAGGAGGACTGACCTGAGTTTCTTACTGTGCTAATCCTTGGCTTAGTGGAGCTTGTGCTCAGACAAAGTTGACTCCAATCAGAGTAACTCTGGTGTTTTCTCTTAGTGCTTAAGAAAAGTGCACAAAGTTGTGCTTTGATACACATCCCCATTTTTCTATTTACTTGGAATACCGAAGCCCCTGTTACTGCACATACAGAACAGGTGACCTGACTGAAATGATTTCATAAATGCCTTATTGATGCCCTCTGAGAATTCAAATAGTGTCTGTTTTCCCCTTATTATAGGTTGCAGAAATTTTAGAAATGCCTCCCATGAGAGTGTATGAAGTAGCAACCTTCTATACAATGTATAATCGTAAACCTGTTGGGAAATACCATATCCAGGTCTGCACTACCACGCCTTGTATGCTGCGAGACTCTGATAGCATTTTAGAAGCCATTAAGAAGAAACTTGGTATGATACACATTTGTAATATCCTTTATATACTCACATGTATTTTTTACACTGGTTTAATGATGTGTTGCTACCTAACTGAAGCAAAAGTTTTCATATGGTGGGGGCAGTGCAAGAATATTTAGTATTTGGAGTGAAATTATCATCAAATAAGCACTGGAACACATTCAAAAATGAAGAAGAAATGCCAAATCCAAATACTTCAGTACAGTAGGACAAATAAGGCCATTGTCAAGTGTCAATTAATGGTCTTAAAGTGGTTTTAAAGCAGTTTGCTAGGAAATGAATTATTCTAATACGACTCTTGGACTGAGAATTAAGCCCTATCCGATATACAGAAGAAGACTCTAAAAGCTGTATCACTTTATATGCAAAATGAGATTTTTAAGGCACATGCTATATGAAACTTATTTGTGAGTTTTTTTTCCAACCTACTTAAGTGAATAGAATTTATAAATTTCTCATGGGAGAAGTCAGTTGAGAGTTCTGCATCATATAAGGTGTAAGGAGAACTCTCAAGTTTGTGTTTTTTCTCTCACTGAATGATTATGAGGGAAAGAGAGGGCAAGGTCAACAACTAACAACTTTTCCCATTCTATACATTTAGAAGCTGTGCTGACGTTTCATGAGAACCACTGTGATAAGAGCTGCAGAGCAGTTGCTTGTAATATTCCTCCTCCTATGTTGTTGTCTGGAAAAGGCATCTTCAGATTAAATTTGTCCTGGTTTGTTGTTGCATAAATTGTTTAATTTTAATTAAAACTTGGTTTGAAAAATCAAAGGAAGGGCAACTTCTTGTAATTAAGGTCGTTTGTGTAGTTCTTACTGATTTGCAATCAAACATTTCCTAGTTTTTGCTCCTTTCTATTAACTATGGAGGAAATTTGCAGCTTGGTGTTTACTTTCCACAGACTATTCTGGCAAGCTCAGACTCAGATGTTATTTTTGGTAACCTGCCCTCTGGCAAAGTCTGTATCTTTAGTGGTGATATCACTAGGACAGAAACACGTCATGGAAGCTAAGCATGTGTACAGAGTTGTTCAGGAAAGAAGCTTCTGTGTAATAACTTGGAAGTTGTTTATGAATTTGTACCAAGTCTTACTGCTTACATCTTGGTTAACTTGGAGATCCAGTAATGAATACGAATGTGTTTAATATCAGCAACACATGAAAGCTCTGTCTTCCTTATTTTTCCATTCTGCATATCAGTTCTTCCTGAGTAGAGCTGTTTTGTTTTTCAGAACTGTCATTTTAAGATTATTTTTCAATAAAACAAACCTGTAAGTCTGCTCTCAAAATCGTGTCCAAAGACTGACTTCACAGTTTATTAGAACCTTTAACAGAAAACTTTTGGACTTGTCTAAGAGGATTTAACTGTATCAGTGCTTTGGTAGCTGAAGTACAAATAATGAGAAAATTATGATGGAATCAATAATGAATATTCTAATGTTGTTCCATACCCATTGCTGAACCTAATATTTATTTTTTTTTTTTTAGGTATTAAAGTTGGGGAAACAACACCTGATAAACTTTTCACATTGATAGAAGTGGAATGCTTAGGTGCTTGTGTAAATGCACCAATGGTACAAATAAATGACAACTATTACGTAAGTACTATACATAGTATGTATAAGTGTATATGTAAGTGTGTATATATATATATATATATAAAGAAACTAAAATTCTTTGGTAGGCTGTTTCCATTCTTTCAGATTCTGGTTTTCTTATTTTGAATTCCTATTGGCAGGGACAGCTTTTAACTCAGTATCTTTTACTTTCTTGGCTTCTTCCTAGAACGCTTCATCTGTATGATAATGTACTGGTGCCTCCTGGTTTCTATACAAACACACTGTGTTAATGCTTCTGTTTTTGTAATGAGATGATGAGATCATGGATATTCTTGTGGAAGTAGTGTTTTGGCATACTTAGACAGTAGAATGAACTTTCTCACAGGTGGCTTTCAGACTGAGAATGTTGCTTTTTCCTTTTGGTTTTTTTTTAAGCAGCTGTATATCACAGCCTTGCACTGTAGTTTCCAAATTTTAATTTATATCGTTCACTCAACAAGTCACTAAAATGCATCATCTGCTGAAAAGTCAGCTTGTTTTTGCATTTCCACACAGTGAAACCAGCTCTCCTAAAATGTATAGATTCAGCAAGATTCTGTATATGTTTTGCTGTAGGTTTTCTGTGTTGTTGTTTTGGTCATTTGAAATAATGCAGACAGTTTATACTCTTGATGCACCAACAGCCTGCTTTTGTCATTAAGCAGTGTTATAATGGAATGGAAGAAAAAGATTTCTGCTGCATAGGGTTGTATAGACACTGTGAAGAAAGTCCAGAAAGCATTGCATTTGGTGGCACAAAGCAAAATGTTATTTTCTGTTGTGCTTTTTTCCTGCTGCAAAGAAAAACTTTGTGTCAGTCATGTTTTTAAAGGCTTTGCAAGAATGTAAAGTTAACAAAAGTCCAAGCAGGATGCTCAGAGCTAAGATTATGGAACGTTAACATTAATAAATGATTACTAAAGCTCTAAAATGTAGTGCTTGACAGCATACAATTTCTACTGATAGTCACTTGGGCAGCCAGTTGGTTTTTACTGTACAGAAGTATGAAGCTTATTGTTAGTTCATAGCACGGATTGAACATGTTACCAGTGTGGATGACCATACAGAATGGCAGTGCGTGTCTAACTCACTGCATCACACCTAGACACTGATTTTGGCATTTCATTTTTTTAAGCGTGAGGTTGTTATATCGTGTGTGCCATTTCTCCCATTTAACAACTATTTGGTTCTGCTGAATGCTAATATAAATGCTGAATGGAAGTTGCATTGTTTCTCTTCTTCAGAGCCTCTCTTTAGGTGCACCATTTTAGAAATTTTGATCCTCTTCAGAATATCTTATCTATACAAAGAATTGTAAGAGGCAAAATTTCTTACTTCATAGCTTAAGAATAGAAATCACTGAAATTCTACAATATTATCTAGAGGGTTAGTTCCCAATACTTGTTAGCTGGAAGTGATGACTTCTGCTGAAGAGTTAAAAAAATATCTTAGAAGATGTGTGGTGTTGCATTTCTGAAGTATCTGCTACACAATACTACTTAATTACCAAGTGATGGAAAGCAAATTCAGATTTTTCTTTTATCAAGCCTTCCTTTATTTGCATTTGTAAAGTAATGGCCATTCTTATTCTGGGCATCTGTTCAAAGCCAGTTGCACCACAGTAAGCTTATGTTGGATATCAGGAGAAACTTCATTACAGAAAGGGTTGTTAAGCACTGGAATAGGCTCCCCAGGGAGGTGGTTGAGCCACCATCCCTGGATGTGTTTAGAAATCATTTGGATGTGGTGCTTAGAGACATGATTTAGCAGAGGGTTGTTAGAGTTAGGGTAGAATAGTTAGGTTATGGTTGGACTTGATGATATTTAAGGTCTTCTCCAACCTAAGCAATTCTATGATTCTATGATTTGGAAGTCTTTTCTTATCAGCCTCTTCTTCAAAGCCTTCTGTAATAGTTTTGGATGACATATCACTGATGCTGTTCACACAGATGGTTATTCCTTCTCTTCTACAACATCTACAATTTCCAGTGTATATGAAGGCCATGTGTTTGCAGAGAACAAAAACCATGTTTTCTAATAGCTCCATCGTTTCTGAGCAGAGATAAACACTGGGAGTGCTGTTACGACATGGCAACAGTCTTTTCATAGGCCATCAATGAATCTGTGGTTAGGTCAGTGTGTTCTTTCCAGTATGTTAAACTACTTTTTTCCTACTTTGACATTGTAGGAAAAAGGGAACATGATAATAAGTAAAATGAAATTCACGTATTTTTCATTTTGGATACTGTCTTGACTTACACAATGATGTGTGAAGTTAAATTTATTTATTTTATTATTTATTTATTTTTAATAGCTGCCTACCTCTACATCTGGAATTTTTTATTAGATATGTAGTAAGTTTAGAATGGTCGGTTGGAAAGTATGATCCTGGCTGAATGCTATTTTTGAGCTTCAGACTTCTGAATTATGGCCCACTTGGATGCCAAAGGAATTTATGCATTCAATAAATAGAGCATTTAAATAAGGGTTATTTAATTTCTTTAGAACTGTTCTGTTATACTGCACCCAGTATTTTTTTTTTTTGTCATAACCAATGCCGGTTTGCAGTATGTGCAACAACACTGCATATAATGGGTAGCCAAAGATCCAGCTCACTAATATACTAAGGAAGCCAAAACCTCAAGCCCATGTTAGAGACGACCACTGTTAACAGTTTGTTTTAATATAATTTCTGCAACTATACATAATAACAATATTGAAGTTTATATTTTATGTCGTAATTAAGGTGTCAGCCCTTCTGATTCTTCAAACCCGTTACATGTATGTATGTTAATGATCAAGGTTACCTATGATAGGATCTCAACTATGAGAACCACAAATCTGATTAATTGTAAATGCTGCAATTAATACAATTAACAAATTTGCTGACTTTTTATCGTCTTTTTTTTCTTCAACAGGAAGATTTAACACCCAAAGATATTGAAGATATAATTGATGAGCTAAAGGCTGGTAAAGTTCCCAAACCCGGCCCAAGGTACGCCATATTTGTATAACAGTGGCCAACTACTTGAAGGCCTCTCCTCTTGAGAATGAAAACTAAATTCCTGTTAGAGCTATTTGCCTTTGCAGATCTTTTTGACTTAGAATATGTAGAAAGAACAGTGGATGGACTAATGTCATGTTCCTGATGACAGACTACAGGATAATCAAATGGGAACGCATCAGTTTTGACTTATTACCTAATAGGTGAATGGCATTGCCCATTGTTTTCTGTTTGTTGTTTTTTTTTTTTTTGCCTACATGATGGAAACCAACAAATACCAGAAAGATCTGACGTCTGTGAAAGGCTTATTATGGAGCTTTACATACTCATTATTTCCTATTGTTCTGTGTTAGTCCAAACACACACATGTATGAATGGCAGAATTCATTAGCACTTTTGACTTAGGTGTCTTTTTTGTTCCTACTCCTATAATTTTATTTTTTTTAGAGTACAAGGATAATCTTGAAGTTACATTTTCTAAATACAGGGATGCATCTTTAACAAAAATATGACTGATACAATTGGATTTTGCTTTTGGGATTACTGGAACCAACATTGCTTTTCTGCATATCTATAAATAAATAAAAAAATCCTATCTTGCATTTCATTTGCAAAGCTATTTGACACTACTTGAATTTGGAAGCCTTTTGTTTTAAGGGTAGCATCCCACATTTCTGAAGCATGAATGAGAACAAATGAAAAAAGTGGCTTCAGCCTGAAGCCGTTTTGTCACTATATTCTATCCAGTGATTAAACAGTATCCAAATACCAGTAATGAATGAATACAATATCATACAATACCAGTAGTGAATGAAACTGCTGTTGTTTTTCAGGAGCGGACGTTTTTCTTGTGAGCCAGCTGGTGGCCTAACATCTCTGACTGAACCACCCAAAGGACCAGGTTTTGGAGTTCGAGCTGACCTCTGAGGAGTTTTGTAATATATGTTAAACTGTCTGGAAATAAAGTAATTTTAATCACAGTAAAATGACGTAAGGTTAATATTTGGGGGGGAAGAGGGAGGAAGCAAAAGGAATTGGTTACCACGATCTGAACTGCTGCGATGCTTCATCATCATTCAGATTATCAAAAAGTGCTTCTGTAGACCGCAAAGTGACTTGCTGAATGAGTCCATTTGTGATCACTGATGCATCAGTCATCTTTTGATTTACCACTAAAAATTCTTATAACTACTTTTGAGTTACTATGGAAAAAGTAATAAAGCTGGCCAAATTCCAAATTTGGCAAGCTATTTTTAAGAACCAATATAGAAGTGTGAAATTGAAGTATTTCTCCTGATTAAAAAATGTTAAAGGCAATTAAAAAAAAAAGATTGATCTGCAAATCATTTGCCTGAAAAAGAATAACTTCTTTATTGCTAGATGCAAACCCAATACACGACTGCTCAAATTGAATAGTGTAGGGGCAGCTATAGAACTGAAATAATTTGAAGAGGAATAAAGCAAGTAACTACTACTCTGTCACCATCTCAAGTTCAGGTTTTGATGAAATTTAAGCATTTAAAAATTTCAAATATCTCAACTAGAAATATACATGCTACTGCAATACTGGTTATGTGTAATTGCTTACTAGCTACAAAATTATTAGAATTAGAATTTTACACTAATAGTAAATCCAATCACAGAATACACTTAGTGAATTTCACAATAATTTATGCAGGAATGTGAGGATTTTAAAAATGATTGTTGCAGAAGAGCTCTAGAATAGTGCAATAATTAATATTTCCATATCCTCTTCAATATCCTTGAATAGCTCTAGGTACATTTTTTGTTTTTGCTAGTAGTATTAAGGATTTTAGATTATACAAATATTATAGAGATAGTTTCCACTATTCTCAACCCTAAATAGTAGATTACTGATAATAATTCCAGGCAGCTGACACTAACATGCCAAATAAATAAAACAGCTCTGCAGTTTCAATTCTACTGTTCAGTACCTTGAACTGTAAAAGTCATGGCTGGTGACTTAAATGAAAAATGAGTTAACTACAGCAAAAGCCAGTATGTGTTCCTTAAGCTGGTAAAGCTGCAGTAACAGAACCTATTACTGAAGGCAAGATGAAAGAATTTACATGCTGTACTCATTCTGTACAAGTAAAAGCACTTTAACTGTGGTGGGAAAAAAAGACAACTTAGAGCAAAGAAAGTTTTAAGAAAAATAGGTTGAGTCTTGGGAAAGAAAACTGGAGTTTTCTAATATGGAAGCAGAAGACACAATGAATCCATTGGGCAGAGAGTGGGTGGTAGTTTTTTCCTTTGGTAAAAATGGAATAAAGTTAGGAGTAATAGGAAACTCCACTAGTTGACACTTGATAATGGAAAGGATTTCTGTGACCTCCGTAACTGAAAACTGTTACCTGGAACTATCCTGTCAAATAGGAAGAAGCAATGAAATTCAGTTCTGTCTGTAGAGTAAGTTCAAGTGGGCTTATGAGCTGATTTGCTGGTTATCTGCTAGATGCCAGCACACGTGCATTCAGTGGCATGACACTGTTCTAAGAATTTGCAAAAGGTTCCTATCTTCAGATTTTAGTACTTCAGTTTGAGATTTACAGTCTTTCAGTTACAGCCACGACAGTTTGACCAGCTGCTGCAATGCTTATCTTGATTCAGCCCAGTAGTTTTCACAGCTGATGATAGAAGATATTTGGCTTGGGAAGGCAGATCAAGGGAAGTACTGCACAAGTCAACACAGTTCAGCTACAAAAGAGTTTTGCAGCTGTGCTATGTGGAAAGGAGGGTCTCTGGAGCCAAGGAGAAGAAACAAATGTAAAGGTAGCTATTCCAAGATTCTTCCCTGTGAATACCCACCAACTTAAATGGAGCTCTTGGAACTGCACGACACCTGTACAAGGAGTATGGAGTATTACAGCATGCACTGCACCTGCAGCCTGTCATTGCTGGAGGATGAATCATACTGTGCCTTATATAGTACTGTGAGAAGAACAAACACTCTGTCTTGGGAAATACTTACTGCCTTGGGAAATACTCCATTCGGGCTGACAGTCTGTAGCTTGCCTGCACGTCAGCCTGCCTGCACCTCAAGCAATGACCTCTGTAATCAACCAAACATAAAAGAACATGAGGTAAATGCAGCTCCCTTTTATTGCATGGTCACTGGCATCTGCTTACCTGCTTCTGGTCAGCTGACAGCACATCATGCATTGCTTGCATCAGAGAGGAAAGGATGGCAGCTGTGTTACAAAACATGACCAGTACAATAAACTCCTGAAAACAAATTAGACACGTTTACCTAAACAACAACATGACGTGCAGCATGGGAGCATCTGGGCTATGTGATGCCAGCCTCTACCAGCAGCAGGCCATGTAGGGGATGCGCAACAATAGTTAGCCTTCATGAAAGTAAGGCATTCCTGCACAGGTTGTGGAATCTCATCTGGAGATATTCAAGGCCCGCCTGGAAACTTTCCTGAGGAACCTACCGGAGGGAATCTGCTTTAGCAGGGGATTGGGCTTGAATCCCAGAGATCCCTCCCAATTCCTATGGCTCTGTGATTACCCATAGCACGTTGCACAGAAGGAGGTCAGCACCCGCTTCTTAGCTGCCTCTCTATTTGTGCCAGCACTTCTGGCCATCAGAAATGGGGGGCACGAGGAACAGGACACAGTCTGAGAGGGACAGGACAAGGGGGAACGGCTTTAAACTAAAAGAGAGAGATTTAAGTTAGTAAGAAAATCCCCCAGAGGGCAGTGAGATGCTGGCACAGCTGCCCATGTAAGCTGTGGTGCCCCATTCCTGGAGGTGCTCAGGGCCAGGTTGGATGGGGCCCTGGGCAGCTGAGCTGCTGGGGGGCAGCCCTGCCCATGGCATGGGGTTGGTCCCCTCCAACCTAAGCCATTCTGACACACCTTTGGTTCTAGGAAAGAGCAATAGAACCATATTTTCAATTATTCTTTTTATCACAGAGACACATTACTACTCCTTGCTATACCCCATAGATTGCTCAAGTAAAGTAACAGAACACCTGCCCATTCAATTTAAAAATGTTTAAATTTTCAAAGCATCCTTTGATTCTGAATAAGTCATATTTATGGATAGTATACACGAAGGAATTCTTAAGGGATATTTCTGTTTAAAGACCAGCAGCGGGCTCGAGCTTCACACTGCAGTGCATGCCCGGCTCCGGAGCGCAGACCCGTAGCTCCCTCAAGAGATGAAGACCCGGAGGAGCGGGATGGGTGAAGGAAACGAAGCGAGGCACCGGCCAGGCGGAGGTGGGCAGAGGCCCGGCTCCCTCAGGCACCCGCACTGACAGCCCGCCCCGTGCCCACGAGCCGCCAGCACCGCGCTCCGCACCGCCTCATTTGGATGCACGGCGCCCTCCGGGTCGCGCATGCGCACTGCGCCGGCTGTTAAAACTCACTGCGCCATCGCCGCCGGAAAACCCCTCCCTGGAGAAGGAGCGGCCGCGCCGCTGGGGCGGGGGGAGGCGGCCGCCGGTCCGGGGCGGCTCCTCGTCCCGCGGCCGTGCTTGTGCTCCGTCCGTTTACCCCGTCCCCGCCCGGTACCGGCCACACCGCCGCCGTTTCCAGAACGTTCCGCGGCTGTAGCTGCCCGGAACGGTGTGACGCCTGCGCGCCGCTCGCCCCGTCCCTCTCTTCGCCGACCTCCCTCGCGCCCCAGCCCCGGGTCCCGTTACCCCGCCGGGCAGCGGAGTGCCGCGCGCCCGCCCCCCGCCAGCCCAACGGCCGTCCCCCGTCCCGTGCCCGGGCCGAGGCCACGTGGGCGGGGCGCGGCCAACGGCAGCCGCACGGAGCTGCGCTCCGGGAGCGGCGCTGTGCAAAGGGCGGGGGAAGGGAGCGGCAGCTTCGGGCGGGAGGGAGCGGGCGGGGGAGGAGGAGGAGGAGGAGGAGGAGTAGGAGGAGGGCTGTTTTCAAACCCGACGGCCACAGCGGGGCCGGGGCTGAGCGGCTGCGCGCGGCGGGAGGCGGCGGCGGCGGAGCTGCGGGCCGGGAGGAGGTAAGGCTCGGCCGCGCCCCTCGCTCTCCTCACGGCGGGGCAGCCCTCAGGTGCTGCCCTGCTCGGCGCGGCGGCTGTCAGCCCGTCGGCGCCGCGCGGAGCCATGGCCGCCGCTGTCACCCTCCGCCGGGCTGGCCGAGGGCCGGCGGGCGGCGGTTCCCTGGGGGAGGCAGGCGGGGAGAGAGAGAGAGGGAGAGAGGCGGCGGGGCGCTGCCCGCCCGGGGAGCGGCGCCGGGGCCGCGCCGCGCTGCCCGTCTCGGAGCCGGGGCTTCCGTTGACGGCGGCCGCGGCGCCCTGCGGGCGGCTGTCAGCGGAGCGCGGCCACGGTGAGGTGGAGCCCGCGCGTGGCGAGGCACAGGTGGCACCGGGCAACAAAGGGAGGGCGAGAGCGGCGGGCACGGCGACGGGCGGCTTGTGACACTGCCGGATTCGGCTCGTGTGCGTGCTTTTGTTCGGTTTTAAGGACCGGGCTGCTGGTAGGGAGCGAAATAATCCCGTTTTATTCCGTTTATTCCATTTATTTTATTCCATTTAATTCCGCTTTACTCCTTTTATTGCCTTTTATTCCGTTTCTCTTCCCACACTACCGGCTGGGTGTTTTGTGGAAGCAGCCCGGCAGCTCTTGCCGTATTCTGCACCTTTGTTTTGTGGGTGTGGAAGGAGATGGGAATTTCATGCCTCTGAGTTCCAGAAGAGCCGATGGGATAAAGCAGCACTAATAAAGAGCAGCGAGTGAGTTGTGATGCTCGCAGGAACACAAAGCTATCAGACAGATGTGCGGCAGCCCAAGTGTCACAGCGTTCCAGGAAAAACTGTTTAATCTTGGAATGAGGGGGAAGGGTGAGGTCATCGTGTCTATAAGAAATCATTAGTGTTCATTACAATAATCCACTGTTATCAATGTGAGAAGATTTGAGGGTAGACACTATCCTGGTTCTGAAGCGCTTGGGTGGATTTCAGCATGCAGCTTGTCAGCAGCCTGCTCGCATCTCAGCCCCTAGGGCTGGATGTGGTGAGCTGCCCACAGGGGTTGTGCAGCTGGGAAGGGCTCAGCACCCACTGCCAACTCAAGTTCAGCGGGATGGGGTCCCTGGAGTAGTAGGTCTTTAAAATAATGTGAGACTTCAGGGCATCTCACCTGTTGTGACTTCTGCAGATGTTGGAGGTTACTCGCTGCTCTTAATTCTTTAGCTAAAACTGTAGATTCTCAGCCAATCTTCGTCTCATCCTGTGTCAGTTCTGTAGGTCGCAGTGCGAGCTTGAAGAACTGTTCAGGTGAAATTGCAGGGTTTAAGCTATGGCAGAATGCTGCGTTGGGAAGGCAGCACTGAACTTATTCACTGTCCTTTCTTTTTTTTTCCCCTAAAAGCTTTGTCTTTCCTGCACACATCTTGTAAGCTTAAAAAGTCGAGGAGTACAGTTGTTTTTCTCAGTACCCAGAGGACCGTGGTGGTGTCAGTGTTTTGCTGTATGGTGTGCGAGTCCCTTCTCTGATTTGCTTCCTAGTAAGCTGTGAGGCTGGCTGGTGTGCCAGAGGGTGGTCAGGATCCTTTCAGAAGGATGACATCTGGATCTGAAAGATAGAAGCATTTCTGCATATCCATTGCCATCTCTTTGTGTGTTCTTCGCCCACTCAGATGATTATTCAAAATTATTTGTGAACTCTGAATACTGCAGGCAGCAAAACTTAGGACAGATGTTGTGTAAGAAAGCAAGCTGCATGCAACAAGCGACATTCATGTAAGGTTTATTCCAACCAGGCTTGCGCAATAGGCAGCTTCTTTGAGGAAAAGGGCTTTTAATAAGCAGCCTGAATGCTGCTTGTATGAAGCATCAGGGTTTATTTGGTGTTAGTTGGGGGTGTTACTTTGTTACCACTTAAGTTAGAATTAAAAACATATACTGAAAATGAAATGCCCATCTTTATTAACACAGATTATGGGTTGCAGGCTCAAGCAGCAGTTCATTTGTGTCACTGGGGGTCTGTTTAAATTGCTACAAAACTCAGAAACCTGCAGCTCTAACTTTGCAAGGTAGGGGGGTCCTGGGCGTACTCTTGCTGAAGCACTGGCACCTGGGAATAGCTGAGCTAGAGTTTCTTCCTCAGTGCTGAGCTTTCAGGTGCCTGAAAATAAGTTCTGCTTGTTGAACTCATTTGCCATGTTCAGACTATCTCAGTATGGTGAAATTGCCTGAAAGACCAGTGTCGTTGGTCCTCTTTTACAATTGGAAAGAGCTATTGATCACCAAATATGTAATGATTAACCTGCTACCAGTGTTAATATTCACATCCAGAACAAATTACTTCTGACTTTTTTTTAATCTTATGAAGAAATAAGCTAGATGTGAGTGTTTGGCATTTCTTTCTCTTGCATGTTCTTTTGCAGATGGAGCAGTATAAATGTTGATTGGTCATTTAGTCTCCAGATTCTTATGTTTTAGCTACATCATTAGATTCTACTTAGACTCCAGTGACAGATGGCATGAAATAAATATTAGCACAAACTCTATCTTGCATTTTGCATTATGACACTGAATGGTTTTATTAACAGAATAGCAGAAGTCAGAGCCCAGCTAACATAGTCTTTTTTTTTTTTTTTTTTTTTTTTTTTCCTTACAAGTTAGTTATTCTTCCAGAACCTGGAGAAATCCTGGGAAGATCCTCAAGCAGATCACTGAGCTGTGCTTGGTAGCTCAGCTATGGAGTTGAGGACCTTTACTGTTGCCTTCTATAAAACCTAAACATTAATTTAAAGAGAGGCTGAGAGCCATTGAGAGCTGGTATGACTTCACTGTGGCTTATTTTGGGTTATCTGCCTGGGTCTGACAAAGCGTCCTTTTATCTGCAGCTTGTACTTTTATCTTTTGCAAGCAGCAAATGAAGAAACTCTGCTCAGCTTCATGGAGCTATCTGAAGCAGCTGAGCATACAGTGTTGCAAGGCAATTGGTTTCACTCCGTTTTATGCCAAGAAAAGTCATAATCCATACAGAGACATAAATATGATTTATGTTAGAGGCAAAAGCTAAGGATACTGGAACCACTTTCTTGTCCCATTTTGCATCAGTGAGGCTGGAAAGTAATAGAGATAGAAAGCACTTTTCCCCTGCTTTCAGGTTTCAGAAAGTAGTGTTTTGTTGTTTGTGGAGTATTGTTCTGGGAGAAATCTGAGTGAATTCCCATCACTTAATGACAGCAGCAATGAGCTTGCTTGCATTAAGACACTTCCAGTAGTTTCCCACCTCTTTCTTTTACATCCTACTTAATGGATATCTGGCCTTTCAAACTATTCAAGCTCTGGTTAGACAGATAGCTTCATGAGCCACACTGCAGAAATATCTTTCTCTTGTTTACATTCGCTTCACGATCTTGTTCAACAAAGAATGCTAACTGACAGAAATCAGCTTTCTGTGGTGCTCTGTGTTTTTCTAGCAATCTAATTTGGGTTCTTACAGTTTGCAGATAAGAGAAAAAGGGGAAAAATTGTTTCCTAGTATTTTCTTTTGAGAAGAGCGAGCTCTAATATGGTATTGACAGTCATATTACTTCTTAAAACTTAATAAATAAATAAATATAAAATCTTGTCTTGAAAATAGCTTGTTCTATGTCTTCCTACCCTTCAACTTCCCAGTGACATAGGAACATTAGTGAGGGTTGAGTGCGTTACTCACTGTAGTTTTGCAGCTCTGAATAGTTACACTGTATGCAAATGAAGTTCTAACTAATCTCCTTTCCTCTCCATCTGTTCCACCACTTTCTCTTCCACCAAGAAAAATTATTTCCGTAAGGGAACTTACTTTATTCTGTTGCTTATATGATGCATGGTGATGGCCATGAGACGGCAGTAAAGGCTGCTGGAAGTTTTGCATGCCTTCACAAACTAGCCAGGACAAAAACCTCAATTATACAGGGAGAGCTGTAAGTCTAGCCAGAAGATTGATTTTTTTTTTTTTTTTTCTTCCCTTCATCTGCTGTTTGAGATTTCACCAATAATCAGGCGCACATGAACAAGCCATTTACCATGCTGGATCCTGCTGAAGTTGAAGGACAAGGAATGGGTTGGGCAGTTATCTGCTTTTAGACCATGAAGGGCTTCTGTGTGCTTTAGGTGGTGTTTCTTCTGCAGTGCTGCAGGTCAGTTGTGGGTCTTCCTGTTTCTATATTAGCATTAGCTAATTATCAGAGAAGCTAATGAAGGCTTAAATGGAAATTACAGAGATTCTAGGAATATTGTGTAGAATGGACCTGAAATCTCTGGGCTTGCAGGTCTTTACTAAGTTTCTAAAGGGATTGTAGATCCTTGTAGAGGAAATTTGAACTTGGTCATCTACTTGCTTTAAGCTTTTCTTTGGCAAACATTGTGCTGATGGAACAGCCTTAGCTGACCAAGATTTATTTTGTTGCATCTTTAGGGAATAGGCAGTAGATCAAAACTGAAGCTTACAACTCCACTTCTCCATTTAGCTTAAAGGGAGTATCATTATGTTCAGCATCTGTGCAGGTGCTTCCTTTGAGCCCGGAGCTCATCCTAAAAAAGAGTCAAGAGGAAGCACCTGTGAACATGCAAGTTTTTTAGACTTTGTAGATCAAAAGGCAAGACTCGTCATGGATTTTGCAATATGTGTCTTCAGCTCCTGACGCTTGGGCAAGCATGACTCCTTCCTTTTCTCTCCCAGACTAGGTTTCCTCTTTATAGGATCAAGAAATTCCTTTATTTGGAGAGACTGTCTAGAATGAAGAGAAAGCCCATCAGGCACTCTAGAGCTTGTGTATGTCTGCTTCTCAGAGTAAGGAGATGAAGGTTTTTCCACGTAGATGTTTATTTTGACAGCAAGTATGGGCCTCAATTAAAAATAAGATGCTTCCCGATGTGTATTCTACACAGCTGTCTTAATGATGTGATTTAACTTGACTCTGCCATCAGTGCTCAGAAGCTGCATGGGTTCTTTGTTGGAATAAATGCTGCCCTGACTTCATGGCATAAATTGCTGGAGAATGTAA